CACAACATGAATCTGCGTTTACTTTACACACATTTCCCTTCCCATAACGAGCAAGCACACTTTCATCTTGTACCTTATCGATACACGACCCTTTCTAAAGCCGTTCCCCGAGGCGATAATGCGCAAATTGTTTTGAAATCACCGCTAAATACGTACAAGAGTGTCGATCCCGACACTCGGGCACAAATAACACGCATCAGCCAAAGTTAAGTGAAAATAAAACACTCGACATCGAGTTAATGTTAGGGGGGAGATATGTCCAGCTCTATTACCGACGTCCGAACTGTGAGGAACTCTATTTCTTGATGTTTAGGGTTGGTTTTGGTGTGATTTTAAATGGTATACGATATCCTTGTAATGAATTTGAATGGAATTACAGTGAATGGATAGTAGTGTTCTGCTATTTGCTCTGTAATATATGGTTTTGTTAATTAAAATGAAACCGCAATCATGGATTAGATGATTTGATGATGATGATGGCCACCAGATGTTTTGGAACTTTTTTTATAGCCTAGGCAGCTTATAAAGTCTATCGCCGGTTGTGGTACCACATATAAAAGAAGATTAATAAAAGAATTACATGTAGAGTCAAGGGCTAAAGCTATGTGTATTTTCTTTTTCATTTATATTATATCCATCTACTTTATTTATTTTGTTTTATTCAATCTTCAATGCCATAATAGTTGGTACAAGGAGAACTTAATGCCATTGGGCATTCTCCACCAGTTAGCCGTTGAGATAAACAGGAAAAAGTGTTGGCAGTGAGTTTTCTTTTAATGTTTTCCTGTTTAGCCCAAAAGCTAACTGACAGAGAATGCCCAATGGCATTAAATTCGTCTTATGTACCAACTATTATGGCATCTTAGGTTCTTACATATAGGTACATTTCTCTTTTAGGAATGCAAGTAACTGCAGGTAAAGTTCGCTTCACTATCACACAGCTTATATTATTCTTTATTAAAGTTCGTCAATATTGGATTTAATTCAAGTTATAAATACACCTGAATGGCCTTGCCTTGTATTATGTGCGCAGTCTCAGGCAAATTGTTTTAGATTACCGACATTAAAGTAGGTAATAAGATAAACACTTAGCACCTAGATAAGCCATAGGCTAGAACAAGATGGCGATTATCGCGTTGCGCAAAATAAAGCCTTGGACACACTAGAGGACAAAATGTAGAGGTATTCTCGAAGTGCACCAATTTTGAGGCGCAACTAAACTATTTCTCGGAGCGCATCTGTTTACTAATATAAAGATTTTGAACTTTATGTTTACTAAGATTAATAAAAAGTACCAGGGCAACATAATATAGGAGAGCTTTATAAGGTGCGGCGCCTCACAATGCGTCCGTTTCGAGCCTCCTAATATGAATATCGTGCAATTCAAATTCTACGTATTGCAGCAACATTCCCAAACTGCCCAGTGTTTTGCTTAACATTCTACGACGACGTACTGCGGGTACAAGCGCACCCATTTTTAAGAACACCTAAACTATTATTCAAAGCGCACCTATTTCATGTTGTCCTGGTACTTTTTATTTTAGTAGACATCAATTCAAAATCTTTATATTAGTAAACATAGATGCGATTCAAATAATGGTTTAGGTGCGCTTCATCAGGTGCGCCTCAAAATGGGTGCGCTTCGAGGAATCCTCGTTGCTCCATTTCTCCCCTAGTGTATCCGTGGCTTAAAAGTATAGACGACAGCATATCGAGCAAAACCCTGCACCTTATGACATTGCAACAGGTGTGATATTACAACAAAAATGTAGAGTCTGCTGTACTAATAGATGTCAGTCACGCAAAGACCACACAAGTGGACGGACGCTCGTAGATGATTATTGTTTTTAGTATGAAGCGCAATTGCTGAGGATTAACGTATTAAGGAGGCTTGGGTATGATTTAGGACTAGTAGCTGTGGAAATGTAGAGTGAAGAAAAATAATACGAATTAGTGTAATGGGGCCGTCCATATATTACGTCATTCTAAATTAGGGGGGGGGGGGGTTGGTCTGCGGATGACGGTAAATGATTAAATCTCTTCGGCGAAAACAGGATAATTTAGATCGAACTTCACTTGGTAAGTTCGTTTGATCATTCAATTAAAAACATAATTAGCTGACTACGGTACTTAAATAAAAGCAGTTATTGTGAACGTCAAGAAATAAATTGAAGTTAAAATGATTGTTTTATCTGGAAATTAATAATTTATGAGTCTATCTACTTTGCAATTAAGAGATTCTCGTAATGAGCTAGCACAATATAGTGAAGAAAGAAAATAATAAGATATGCGGTGAAATAAACAACAACAAACAATCATTGTTCTGAGCTTATTTTTAACTTGCAAAACAAGAAATAAGTACAAGTTAATAATATCTGTTGGTAAACAGCTCCTAAATGGATGGACAGATTTCAATAATTGGTACAATTAGTAATCTCATTAGTTCTTTGTGCCAATCCAATATTATGTAGTTGATTTTACATTATTTTCAAAACAGAGAAGAGAGAAAAAAAAAAACTTCCTAGGCAGATTCCTGGCGAAATTATCTGCCAAAAGTGATATTTGCATAAATTTTGATACATACATGCATTAAATAAGTTGGACATAAATTATTACTGAAAATTTTAAGTTCTTTTATAAAAGCATGGTAATGCCATTTGGTGCTGAGCATAAAATGTAAAGACAACGAAATTTTCAAGTGAGGTTTGAACAAATGTTTGAAGCGTCCACACATCTTTTGTACAAACATTTTCATGCTACACCACTAAAACAGAACAATTAAAAGATAAAAATGTAGATGAACCATGAAATACATCTAACTACAACAACATAAAACCGTGCCTGTTTCAGCCATCCGACGACGGATCGGACACTGTCCGTGACCTCTCCTGGAACGTCCACGCTTGTGGACTCGATGAGCGAACTCCACCGGGACCGGAGAGCCGCTTGCGCCGCGAACGACGCCATCTCACGGATAGACTTCACTAAAATCATCGTTCATTTGCCAGTCTGTTGCTCCGGTTACACCAGTCTTTATGGTGTCATTATAAGTGTTTTGACACCAGTCGTGTGAGTGCTATTGCACACCAAGACATTATGTAAAACTGTACAGTAATTCTGTTTATATTATTGCCAATATGATTTATATTAAAGAGTTATTTTAGGAATAAGTTATACCTACTCTAAAATAAATTTACTCATTAACTAAAATGGCAGTCATTAAGGAGATTAAAATTCTAATTAGCTTTAAATCTTGTTTTGTAAATACAAGATAAGGAAGTGCTTCATAATTATATTATTAATTATTTGGTTTTTCTAAATTAGTAAACAAATATTTATGTGAAACTCCTCAATCTTCAATGTTATTTAAATGTACTATTGATTGATAATAACTAGGTACATAGTTACAACATTATTGAATATTAAACAGTATTAGGCATCAATAATTTTTTATCAACAAAATCCAAGTTTATTATGTCTAGTTTTCAAGGTTTGTTTCAAGGTTCTATGAGATAATTTATTAGACACATAATATTGTCATCCACAAAAGATATCACCCAATAACTTTATTAGTTTACAAGGTAACCTTGAGTGTTCATTCAGTCAAATTAAAACACTATACTGTTATTATTTAAAAAAAACCACACAGTGCACTACATCTAGAGTTTTGACACACCAAACTTATTAGTATTCACTGTAAATAAACGGTTTTCACTTCTTTAACGAGTAACTAGGTCTGCGCAACTGCATTTGGTAAGCAATGGCAGGCAGATCAGGTCAAGGTGTCGACTGAGCTATTTTAGACTAATATTGCCCGCCTTTTGCATTTCGATCCTTGACAATCATTTTCAGACTTTTCAGCAGATGCAGCACTTGCCATTATCACATACAAACACGTATTACTGTATTCCTTTTCTCTAAATTAGATTTATAAATGAATTCGTAAGCGTAGATTGAAAAAGCCGATTTGGTGAACTTACCTAACAGACTGGCGGATCGATGAAAGGAACAGCCGTTTTGTAACAGAGACGAACAGTTTTTAATTTAAAGTAGGCGGATTAATTACTGAATTAATGAGAATATCACGATTTTTAATAAATTCACTGTAAAATTGTGTAAATGCACACCCACAAAACGGAATAGCAAGTCAACAACTGTCAAACTCGAATTGTTGTCAAAATTCGATCGGCTGTCAAACGGGTATGGCTACGTTTCGTTGCACGCAACTCACAAAAATACTATTGAAACGAAATCCGAGATTTATCTTTACTAATTGAAACAAAATAAATTGAGTAATGATTAAACTTTGAAAGTTAATACTAGTAATATATCGAAATAAAACATTTAATGCGAACTTACAATCTTACTCCAAAATTATTTTAGCAAAGTTGCCGTTGCTAGATAGAGTTTTACATTTTTTTTGTAGGCGTTCAATTCAATCAATCAAACAAAATATTATTTTAACAATACTGCTTCATATTGGTAAGCTTTCCCGATTAACAACTGTTAACTCTACCTGCTGAAGTCCCCATTTTGCCAGTAGTTAGCTAGCTTAAGAGAAACAAACCATTTGAATGTTAATAGGGCGCACCAACAAGAACGTGATAGCCACCCTAAGTTGTTATAATTTAATTAAAATTCACCCAGAGCAGATCATCATTTTATTTCCTCATGTAAAAATTACCGTATTTGGGATTTGTACGGGAAAATGCATTGTTTTTCTTTATCATTATGGCTTTGAACTTTGTTAATAGGCGTTAGCACTCAGCAGCCTTGGGACGTGTGTATGAATACTTACTTGAGACTATTTTTATTTATCTAAGTAAGTACCTAATAAATCTTTTTCTCAGACATTGTCCTTACCCAACGACATTTTAATAGATAAACTGAAGTCAACAACAGTGGAAAGTTAATAATATTTACTCAAATATTATATCATACCAAATAATAATATACAAACTTTGACCTTGATACGTTATTATCGTTCTGTGTACTAACGCACTGCGCGATTGTTTTGTCTTTCTTATTCGCGTCTCCAGTGCTGACATTAACAGACATCGAAAGTGATAGTGCTCAATAATTGATTGATGAAGTAATACCTAAGTAATTTGCTGTGTAAAATGGCAAAAGTGGCCGTCGTAACAGGTGCAAGCAAGGGTCTAGGCTTCGCTATAGTGAAAGGACTCTGCGAAAAGTTCGATGGCACTGTTTATTTGACCTCGAGGGATGACCAAAGATCACTGGAAGCCGTGAAAAAGTTGAAAGACCTTGGATTCAATCCCAAATACCACCAGCTTGACGTAACAAACGAAGAAAGCGTGAAAACATTTGCTGATTTCATCAAAACACAACACGGCGGGTTTGACGTTTTGGTGAACAACGCCGCCATATTGGAATGGGACAAGATCTATCCAGACTATGAAGCCGCGAAACGGAACGTCGATACGAACTACAGAAGTTTATTGAGAGTGGAAAAATACTTGTACCCATTGCTGATTAAGGGTGCTAGAGTGGTAAACATATCGAGTTCTTGTGGTCATCTTTCGAATTTGAAGAATAAACAATGGATCGATGCTTTATTGAACCCGGATTTAGAAGTTGACGATATTAATGAGTTCGTTGACGAATATTTAGAGAGTGTGAGGAACGGAACGTTTGATACGGCGGATTTCGCTGATGATGGGAAGCATGCTGAGCATAGGGTGTCGAAAATCGCGGTGACAGCACTTACTATGGTACAGCAAAAGAAATATAAGGACATTTCTTTAAATGCTGTTCATCCAGGGTTGGTAAAAACTGACATGGCCAATGGCAAGGGAGTGACAGACGCAGATGAAGCAGCTAAACTAGTTCTATATCTGATTTTGGAAGCTTCTCCAAACCTGAAAGGGGTTTTCTTGTGGCACAATAAGAAAATTGTAGATTGGTACGACCCCAACGGCGAATATTATTGTAAAGGAATTTGGTAATTTTAACAAAATACTGTCAATTTACGGTGTGTAACCTAATTTATTTCATAATGCGTACACCCTATAATCGACCTATATTGTAAAGAGAATATAATGGTTTTAGGATAAAAAGAAAGAAGCACATGATTAATTTTAATGTCTTATCTTATTATTTATCGCCTGGACCCAAGAGTTCAATAACCAGAACCCATATCGTATTTCAAAATGCATTAAGAAAGTACCTTACCTTATGTTTGCTTCTTACTTTTACCAGGTTTGTGTGAAAATTAAAAAGGCCTTTACCAATAAACGTATCAAATGAAACCCTTCAAAGCTTTTTATTTCATTCATCCTCTTGAACTGCGGTAGGATCACATGAGACTGATGGAAAGCGATGATCAGGCCGAAGATGGAAGCAAGCTTCATCCGGAATCCTCAACCACAGAGGCTATTAGGTACTACCTACCTCCAACTGCCGAAACACAACCATCCATTAACATTGTAGTTCTAGCGAGCGACAGACTAAAGTAAAGTTGGTAGCTAGCCAAACGCACTTTTTAGAACAAGCCCTACCACCAAACCTAACCAGGCAGAAACTTTGCCCCCACTGAGAATCGAACCCGGGAGCTCTGGTTCTGAGTCTGGTTCTGGTTCGAACTCCTCCTATGTTCTTCTGATTAATTTCGTTGCGGGCCCAATGACAGTTTAACTTTCCCCCGGGACAAACTTGACCTTCATTGGTTGGGTTTTTATGGCGGTCAAGCTGTAGATCCTGGCTACACAGGAGTTGCAGTGGTGGGAACGAGAGGTGGGAATAGTCCCGTAATTAAGCTCAAAACTCTACTCACTCAATCTCGTTTTGAATCGCGTTTTAGGCGTCGTTTCAGAATACGGGCCTATTCCCGTTACCTAACTAATAGGTACCTATTTAAGTACCTACTCAAGTTATAACTTGAGTGACCTATTATTTAGGTAACGGGAAATATATTTTACCCGAAGTATGCTGATTCCTTGACTATAACTTGACTCAAGAGTTACTTTACCTTTGCGAAGCCCTAACAGGCAAATACAGTTCGTCAAGGCCTCAAGAGTCCTTCAAAAGGATGGTCAGAGCCGTTAGAAATTCTTTAACGTTATACAGGGTGGAATTTTGTAATGCCACCTGAAGGAAAAGTACTCTAAACACTGTAGATAGAAAATTTTACTGAAATAAACTTTCTATGAAAAAGGAACAATGAACCTACGAGTAAATTATGCCAATAATAAAGTTCCCAAAATAGGTACGACTAGGTATCTAGATGTAGGATATAATTATACTCATACAAAAAATAACCTACGTCCATTAAATCATAAATCAGTTTCAAGACAAGCCTTACAATATAAAAAAAACGGTAACATTAAAAAGATAAAAAATGTTTTATAAACAAAAGAACATGATTAGACCTTGCATTTATCATAATTGATATTAGCAAGACAAAACATTAAAATATTATTATGTTGTTTGGGTGCAATAATTTAGGGTTCCACACTTATGTGCGGTGTTATCACTGAATTTTTACTAGTACCTAATTAGTGTTGTTTTTTACTAGAACGCAGCACATCTTTGGGTTTAACTGTAGATTTCAAAATTCCCAAGCATTATTTGAAGTTGATACTATTTTTAGGTCTTAAATGCAAACAATAACAGAACGAAGGAAAAAAAGAAGTAACAGAATCCTCAGTGCAGAAACGTTACTCACACTTGACTTTTTTACTTTCATCGCGTGACCACACTTATTTTTACATTTTAACACTTTTAGATACGTGACCTTTATTGTTATGAAGTCTTCAAGGCAAAATTGGTTATTTTAAATGACTATAAAGAAATAACGGTCGATACGGAAGAAAGGTTCAATGGAAACACAGAAGCGGGAATGGAAAAAAATTTTGAGTGTTTGATGCCCGTTTTCACCATCAATCCCTAATTTTTAAGTGACCCCTATGGTAAAAAAATAACAGGAATTTTGTTTACATAGGGGTCACTTAAAAATTAGGGATTGATGGTGAAAACGGGCATGAAACGACCAACTGACCGATAAATGGACTATTTACCTTATTTTTTTAGAAAACACACACGAGGTCTCCTATTTACGAAAACCTAAAGAAGAACGGTCATCTGTGACCCAGGCCCGACAGAAACGAGACATACCTCAGTTTTTTTGTCATGTCTTAATTAGTTAAATTATATATTTTTTATATTCGAAATCTATGTATAACACCAAATTATTACCCTTTGTTTTTGTTCAGGCGTCATACAAAAACTAATACAAAATGCCTATTTATCACCAAAATTGGTAAATGTATGTACCTAAATAGCTGCTATGGAATGTATCTAGGTGACCTGGAGATACAGCTGGATTATACAGGGTGGAAACGAGAAGTTACAAAATCTAAAAATTCAATGTTACCAGCTTCCATAATCTGTAACCATTATTGGTACCATTTGAAAGAGCTCGTGAAGCACTTTCAGAATCAGTAACTAGTTTTTCGATATCTTGTATAGTTTAGAAATAATCGAGTGAGATCACTTATCGTTCCATATGTATAACCACCCTGTATAATCCGGTTGTATCTCCAGGTCACCTAGATACATTCCATAGCAGCTGTAATAGACATTTAGGTACATACATTTACCAATTTTGGTGATAAATAGGCATTTTGTATTAGTTTTTGTATAACGCCTGAACAAAAACAAAGGGTAATATTTTGTTGTTATACATAAATTTCGAATATAAAAAATATATAATTTAACTAATTAAGACATGACAAAAAAACTGAGGTATGTCTCGTTTCTGTCGGGTCTGGGTTTTTTTTGTATGGGGCGTGACCGTTCTTCTTTATAAAACAAAACAATAAAGCTTTGATAAGTATAGTACAATCGTAGGTAATTACTTTTCATTCGTTTCCCAACACCCGTATGTTAATAAAGAAGTAGTTATCATAAATTAATAATTATGTAGTTAGTTTTAAATAGCAGATTAAAGACACTTAATTATGTATGACTCGATGTATGTTGCAGTTTTTTCACGGAAATGAGAATGTAATTTGTATGAGGGTACTAATTTCTTTTGTATTGATACAATAGGTATTATAAATAAACACCACACAAAAAAATAAATACGCAAATTATTTAAATGAAAATGTTATGAAAATTATGAATATTCCGAAGGGCACTGATTTTCCACTTTTCCATCTACCAATCTAAGCTGTCTCTACATCACAGATCACAGACTTGACATTTTCGTAAATTCCGAATGGGAAAACAGTAGGGTAATTCAAGTGCAATCTGTCATTTCAATCTATTCTATTTGTCATTTAGCTTGTTTAATCTGTGCTGAATAAAGTGCACAATATTTAAGCAGGATATGGTTGCACGCGGATTTTTAGAGAGTTAAATCTTTTGGCCAATAGAAAACGTCATAATAGTTATTATATGAACTGGGATTGGTCAATGACTTTTGAAATTAAAATCCGATGGCCTGAAAAAATCGGTTTTCCAACAAACGTCAGTTACGCGCAAGGAGGTTTAGCTATTTATCCATCGAAGTTAATAAGGGAGAAGACATAAGACTAATTTTATTATTTGCCTGCCGCGACCCGGTTTTTACGAACAATGACGATGACGAACGATGAACCAGTAACGAGGAGCACACTTAGCAATGCTTCCAGGTTGCGCCTCGGTATCAATTAAGTAACATTTTCCGTTAAGTTTACTTTATGGCCAACTAAAGGACTTTTGCCGTCTCCATGGACAAACTCGAAGTATGATAACTACAGTCATTGTCAAAATTTTGCACTGCCATTGCCGCTGGAATAGTTTTTGATTTTGAGCGGCTAAATTATATGCTAGATATAGTTATTTATATTTTTCCCTTAATCAGTAGATTTTTCTTGATTTTTGATATGGCGTACAACCTCCGGGCCGAAATTGGGACAACTCCTTTGTCAAGTGCATGAATACATGGATCAGTGTGTGTCTTATTGTTATGAGTAAGTACGGTTCCTTGGGATCGGTATGAGTGCACCACATACAGGGACCATGGTTTTAACTCTTAAGAGTACATCGCAGGATATGTATTAAAACAATGCTACTTTATACTTCTTCTACTGCTACTTTATTCTAATTAATTATTTGTTACTTGTGCTTGTATTACAATACAATTCTCAATCCGTAAATAATTTCTTCTTTCTACCATACAGGGACCATGGTTTTAACTCTTAAGAGTACATCGCAGGATATGTATTAAAACAATGCTACTTTATACTTCTTCTACTGCTACTTTATTCTAATTAATTATTTGTTACTTGTGCTTGTATTACAATACAATTCTCAATCCGTAAATAATTTCTTCTTTCTACCGTGTTCGTACTACTGTCCTCGTAAAATCATCGTAACCGATTGTTGTAATCGGATTACATGAACATCACTCGACCATGTATGTCCATTTGGACATATCGGAATGGCACGCTTTGACGATCAACTTGCTGTATCTACTCTAATCCATATCTGTGGTTGGCATCTAAGTTCCTGTTTTCTACATATATGTTACTACTACCTATTGGATAAGTAACTAAGAACTTTGTCGTTTATTCCATGTGAACAAAATCCCTAAAAGCCCATGTGTAATAATATTCTTACTAAACACTGCTGAAAAAGGTCTAAACTTCTGAGCTATGAACGTATAATCCAGTAGCATTAAGTAGGTAGGTACGTATAGCGACGTTGGAACTTGATATAGAAGTTAGCTGTTTTATATTTTTTTTCACAGCAGAAATCTTTATCTTTGATCTTAATATCTGATCGTGCGTATTGTCTTTTAAAATATTACATTTGCCTAAATAAAAATAACCGACCTGCTGCTTATGTAAATTATAATTATTTATAACCCTACTTACAATGCATAACAATCATAATTAGGTATTATAACCCTACTTAACAATGCATAACAATCATATAAGTCTAATTAATTCCATATATTTCTAATAATATGTTACATTTTCATTTTTATTACATTGATAAAGTCCCGTTAATCATAGAAAATTATAAAATATAACTTTAGCTTTAGTTAGGCGGACCATAGATGGGTGTTTGTAGTTAAATTTACAACTCTCCTATAAAAGTAATTTGCTTCTTGGTATTAATTTTCATACCTGTTGGTTGATTAGGAGCCTATAGAATGTTTTATCGCGATGCTAAGAAATAAAGCGGTGGTTATGAAATACTTCCCGACAAATAAACT